TCCTTCCATTACACACAGAGGAGAGCCAGTAAAATTCAATTTCTATCAAAGATCCTAAACGCTCACTCCACAGTATCTTCACACACAGAAGACTACGCAAACTCGATTCCCATCAAAGATCCTAAACGTTCGCCTTGGTGTCTTTACACACAGAGAAGAGACTGCCACAAATCCAATATTCCCATCAAAGATCCTAAAGGTTCCTTTATATAAGAATCGCTGTAACTATATCTATCTGCAATTATATTTCACGTACTCTATTCAAAACAGCCGTATCTATACAGACAACACAAAGATAAATGTCATTTTTTCTCTTTTTCTTCAAAATTCCGACAAATTACTTCCTCTAATTTTTCTCTTTTTCTTCAAAATTCCGACTAATTACTTACTTACTTCTTTTTTATTTATTCAGAAAATTCATATCGCGTATATATTTTCGCAAAATTTTATCAAAAAGATCACGGATCTTCCAAATTGCGAAACTTTTCAGAATATATTGCAAAGATTAAATATAAATAATATTCACTTAACAACACTGTTGGGGATTAAGCAACAGGTGATGAAACAAGGTAATGAATTAGATCAACAACTAATATACGCGGTCAAATAAGCTCTTTTTGAACAACACTCGCTCGACACTCTCCTTTTTTAAAAAGAAAAACGCCTTCTCCCACTACATTCATATATATATTTTTTTTTTTTTTTTTTTCATGCATTTCTACGATCAGCAAACATCACATTACATCTATAGTATAATTAAACGCAACTAAAGATATAATAACTACAGCTACAAGTTATAACTTAACAACAGCCTACGATAATAACCAACGATACTACAATAATAATAAAACATCCATTTTTCAAATATTCACTCATCTTTCTCCAAATTGTCCATTCTCAAACTTTTCTCTTTTCGAATTTCACCACATTTTCGAACGCGCTTGCAACCTTCGGGTCCATCCTTGACTCTCGAATTCATTTTCATTGTCCCACGATTCGAATTGAGCCGTGTACGCGCTCGCAAACGAGGCGCGACGACGTTTGTATCAAGCCGTTAACGACGCGAAACGTTGGATCGGACGATCGTTCGATGCTCGACCTACTTTCCGATGCGACCTCACCTCTGTGAAACGTCGACCTTAAGAGGTGAGAAGTAACGCGAGACACCCCCCCTAATGCCTCCGCGCGAAGGGAAGAAAAGCCTCCCAGAAGGATTTTTACGCCGTGTTTCTCCTTGCTCTCCTCGTCATTCACCCGCAGCCACCGGCTTACGATATATCGTGTGCTCGAGGAGCGAGGAGAGCAGGACATTTTCACGGGACATTGCTCTAGCCATCACGGTGAACTTTCGTCTGTGGATCGCGCGCGTCCTTTAGAACGCATTTTACGGCGAACAGACGGGATCGTATGGCTTCTAAAATGGAGCGTAACAGGCTAAATATCTGCTCGGAATGTCCGCGAATATCACCGGTCGTTTGCCAACGCGAGTGGTACGATATTTGGAAATTTTTAAAACGATGTGAACTAATAGACTAAAATATATTAGCCACACTGATTACAGATTACAGAATTTTGCTATTTTAGCTTTGTAATTTGTAATTTTCTTTTTTTTTTTTTTGAATTTTCAACGACGCATGCTTAGAATTCTAAACAAACTGATCAAGCTGATTACAGATAATTTTGCTACTTTAACTTTATAACTTGCAATTTTTTTTTTTTTTGCATTTTCAACGATGCATGCTTAGAATTTTAAACAAACTGATCAAACTGATTACAGATAATTTTGCTACTTTAACTTTGTAACTTGTAATTTTTTTTTTGCAGTTTCAACGATGCATGTTTGGAATTTTAAACTGATTACAGATAATTTTGCTACTTTGTAATTTGTAATTCTTTTTTCGATTTTCAACGATGCTTAGAATTCTAAACAAACTGATCAAACTGACTACAGATAATTTTGCTACTTTACCTTTGTAATTTGTAATTCTTTTTTCAATTTCCAACGATGCATGTTTGGAATTATAAACTGATCAAACTGATTACAGATAATTTTGCTACTTTAGCTTTGTAATTTGTAATTCTTTTTTCGTTTTTCAACGATGCTTAGAATTCTAAACAAACTGATCAAACTGATTACAGATAATTCTGCTTCTTTAACTTTGTAATTTGTAATTTTTCAGAGCTCTAAACGATTTTTCGTACAGCTCGTGTCCCTTGTTGCATTATTAATTTATTATCGGTTTATTTCTCTGATAAAAATTAGTCCTATTCGTGGTTCTAATTGAGCATCCACGAAACAAATGTGTTCTCAAGAAAACGAGTGATTGTAGACATTCACATGAGTGTTCGATAATTGTTTAATTTTTTATATAAATTAAAAAATTGGATTTTCAGAGTAGGTGTTAAGTTTTTGGTTGAATATCTTCGCGAAATAACGTTGCTGAACAAAAGCGAACGTTCCTGAGTATTTGTTGCGGGAATGGTGCAAATGGTCATTTATCTCCAACCAAACGTGCAAGAACGCAAATGAACAGCCATTCTCCTTAATGCGCTCGCCATCCTTCACGGATTGTTCAGTAACTGGCTGCATTAAGTGTTGGCAAATATTCATTTAATGTCCGCCAATGTAAATTTCCTTTGGTGGAAAATACGTAGAAAAAAAATCGTGAATGCACCTACGAACGAATCGCAAGCATTCACGAATTTTTAGAAGAATTTTTTTTCCAAAAGCTGAGCCCTCTTTCGAATAATTTCGACTTTGTTCTGTACTGCTGCCCTTCGGTTTCGTAATACCTGTAATACCTGTACTGCATACGTAAGGATGTAACATTTCTTTGTATTTGCTAACGTTTCTTAAACCTTCGAACGTTATTGCTCTCCGGTGATACGGAAATGGAATATCCTGGTTTGCTGGTTTCACGGGAAAGATACAAGAGGAGCTATTCCTTCGAGAAATGTTCGGACGTTGTACGTGTCCGTGGTAAGAATGATGTGCCTTGCACTTGTGTTAATAAAAGTAAAATTACATTTGATAATGCCAAGATAAATCGACGATTCGTGATGATTCGTCACGATCGTGAAATCATCCCAATTTCGAACGATTAACTTGCCACTTCTTCGATCACCAGAATGACCACTCGCTTCACAATCCCCAACAATCGAAACCCCAACACATGAAACATGATTTTCAAATTTTCTAAGACATAAGGACATATTGTGCTTAGAAAAAATGAAATCGCGCAATTCTTTGATTAGTCACTCGCTAAGAAAATAAATAAATCTCGAAACTCGAATGAAAAGTTAAACGATTAATAATTATCATTAATATTTCTCTTTGTCTTTCAACCAAATTTCAATAGTTCAATATCAAAGGAATCTCCAGATTTTCTGGGCGTCGTAATTTTTCGAGCAGCGTGCATTGATTGATCAAATCGACAAAGAGCATCGGCCGATTTTCTAAAAAAAAAAACTTCTTTGAAGTTAGTTAGCAATTTTACATCGGTGTCTAATCGAAGCAATAGAACCGCTCCACTCGGGCGATAAATCTTCGACTTCCTAACACCTTGATACACCTCGAATTGCACTCTACACGCTCGACCCATTACTTTCCAATCTCTTTTGCATTCTCACCACCTGACACCCTCGAACTTTTCATCCGGCGCCGGTGCGCGATCGTTCATCGAACAAAAAAAAAAAAAAAAAAAAAAAAAAAAGAAAAACTTTCTTTGGCCATAATTCAACGCGCTCGTTGCCGACAAGCGTTTCCTCAAAGAGCGAATCAAAGCTGATGCGCGATCTTTCGCCATCGAGCGTTCTTCTTCGTTATAGCAACGAGACGCAATCTGCTGATGATCTCAACCGATCGGAGCCGTGATTGGTCGAGCGCGAAGAACTGAATTGAATTCACAACGGTTTCAAGAACAAGGCTCGAAAGTTCCTCCGTATAATATTTAAAAGACTAATTAATAAAATTATTGAAAATTCATAAATAATTCGTTTCATTATCAAAATTATCAATTATTATTAATATTATAAAGCATAGATATATAAAGAAGAATTAAATTGTATTATTTTACTTATTTAATAATAAATAATATAATTTAATAAATATATATATTTAATTTTTAAAATTAATATAGATTTAATTACTTTATAAAAATTTTTTAATTTATTGACAGTTGAGTTTATTGAAATAAATGTATTAATGTTTATTATAAATGTACTATACATAAATATATAGTATTTAAACGTATACGTGTACTGATATTTATTATGAATGAAAACATAATAACAATTTAACAAGTTTGACAATATCATTCAATATTTAATAATACTGAATTTTAATACAACAGTATATATTTTACCGTCTGATGCGACATATATAAGCATTGTGGCTAGAAGTGGCGCCAAATTTGAAATGACGTAGGACTACGTTGCCGAAAGTGTTAAGAAGCGGAATTTCATAATTTGAATTTGATAAATTGATTCGAGAAACAGTTGCAGAAGGAACGTCAGACAACAGCGTTTCAGACAACGAGTTCAACGTTGCGAAACAGCACGAAATTACAGGACAGGATATCGTTAATTCCGCAACGGGGAAACCTTACAGAGACGATTCACGGCGGATTGCTAAACTTAGCTTCGGTAATGTGTGGTTGAGCAAGCCAAGGGTTGACGTCTTCGCCTTCGTATTAGGAAATCTGACTGCGATAAACATCTACGTGGCCCATCTACGTAGATAGTTGGTTCTGATAGTTCGTTCTAACAATTACTCGGAGGAGGAGAACCCGCCGTAAATACAAATGGTTTCACAACGTTCGGGAATGAATTAGCAAACTGAACGAAAATGGCAAACGACGTGACTTTATACCGGCTACGTGACGTAGCTACTAATCGATGACAGGCAGATGAACGAGCGTCTTTTTCGGTGCCAACCGCGACTCCGCTGTTTCAGCGAGCAGCAATCTTCGGGGCGACGAAAGAAGTGCCATTACCGAATAATGGCACCGCCGAAAAAGAAGGCAGGAGGCCAGCCCCGGAAACAACGGATAACAAAACGGCGTTATATCAATCGGCAATATCGCAAACGACCGGACATTGCACGCCGAGAAATGGTCTACAGACTGCTCAACGACAAACATAACCAAGGTGCTATTGTCATAACGAGTTCTCTGGATAATGCCATTCCTCTTTTATTCCTGCAGAAAGCGGGTTCTCAATTACGATCTTTCGGAAACTACCGAACTACCGAAGAGGCAATATTACGTTTACTCTTTTAATAACAATAATAATAATACAATTTATCACAGTCTAACGATTATTTCTAATAATAATAATTTAATTTCTTGGTTTTTTCTTTTGATAGTTTATCTTTGTCGACGTTAAATTAACTCCGACATTTTGTAATAATTAAAGTGGAAGGAGAATTGTCAATTTCTGAGTAATAAAATTTAGAATAATAAAACAATAAACTTTTATTTTACTATTACAGAAATTATAATAAAAGAGAAGCTTCTGTGACAAATATAACCAATTCCTTTTTAATTTCTAACATCCCTCAAATTCTCCATCTTCCATGTATTATGCAGAACAAATTTTCATATTTCAAGTTTCATACTTTTGCAAACATAATTATTTAAAATGAAACGTACCAAAGCATATCAAGGAAAAAAAAAAAGAAATCTTCCCTCAGCGAAAGTGCAGAACAGAGTCTCGAGGTACAAGGGGGATCGATACCACGGGAGAAGGCGGAAATATCGAAATACACGAGAGTACTCGTACGATAGCTCGCCCACCATTGACGACTCCGAGTACACGAAATCCGTGGCAACGTCCGTGGAGAACTTGTCGATGGACGTCGCTAATAGCTCGGCAGCCAGCAGCTCCGAGAACAGCAGCGTATCGAATGTCTCCGTGGAGCCGATTGTTCTCGCCAAGTCGATCGATAACACTAGAGCTTTGCTGAAGAAAAAGTCCCTCGTCCAAGTCATTAACAACTACATCAAGGCTGGGATCGAGGAAGGTATCATCTGGACGACCTTTTAGTCCGGATATTTGTTAAAATACGCTGCGAGCCAGGGTAACAACAGACTTCTATAACATATTTGGTACCTTTACCTGGAAATGGAATTTTTTTTGGAATTTTGTTGTTAAATTAAATTGTTAACCTATCAATTCAATTTAAATTTTGAATTAATTTATCTCTTTGGATGTTACATGAAGATTTCTGGTAGAAATAGTTCTATGTTGATTTCATGTATTAATAGCTATAATATAATATAATATAACATATATAATAGTTATGATATAATAATAGTTGCAAGATTATTGTCAAAAGTCCTTTTGACACAAGCATAGGTTTTCATTGCAATTCTAAATTCTGATTGAACTAAGGAAACAAAATTCAGAATATAAATGAAATTTTAATTCTTTCGCAAACTCGAAAAGTATTTGAATTGAAACTGGAACTTAAAATTTAAATCTAAATCCTTAGATTAAATATTTAGTTACATCTATTCTCAAGTCTACAGAATTCTATTATTCCATCCACGGTTCCCCTCCCTCGCTTCTTCTATCACTTTCTCGACGGAAAGTCCCGCCGCTATAAGAAAAACATTTTCTCACGCTTCACCCAGGGAAACGGCAAGCGAAAAAGTACATCCGCAAGGCGCTCTCGTTCGGCGTGAAGTCCGGCTACCTAATTCCAACCGATCCCCAGGGGCAAGTGATACGGGTATCCCCGACGTTGATAAAATCGAAGAGGAGCGACGTGGAGTCGCGCAAGAGGCGGAAAAGAGCGAGGAGAGGTGAAGAGGATCCGATGCCCGATACCAACGATCATCAACCGACCCCGCCGTGGAACTCGGAACGGAAGAAGATCACGCGCCGCGAGGACACACCGAGGCCGGAAACTCCTCCGCGAAAGAGGAGGAAGACCACGAAGAATTCGAGCCAAGCGAAAAAGAATTCCAGAAAGAGGGGTCCCACGGAACGTGTTCCGCGAGATGGTAAAAAGAGGAACACGAGGAGAAGAAACAAGTTAGTGATTTAGACGTCACACGTGCCTCTCGTGTTGTGTCCCTCGTTGTTTCGTGTAGATTTACGGAAGCTCTGGGAACTGAGTTAATTTTTCGAGATGTTCTTCCTCGACAGATTATCAGTTATCAATCTATATCGGAGGTCCCCCCTGTAAAGTTTCTTTCGTGATTTGCATGTAAACTGCAGAAATTTTGGGAACGATTACGAAGCTTCCGGAGGGAGATAATAAAAGAGGTACCCCATGAGTAATGTCGTTTTTTGACAGAAATTTATTTTATTTTATTTTATTTTATTTTATTTTATTTTATTCTATTTTATTTTATTTTATTCTATTTTATTCTATTTTATTCTATTTTATTTTATTCTATTTTATTTTATTTTATTTTATTCTATTTTATTCTATTTTATTTTATTTTACTTTATTTTAAGTACAGAAATTTTATTTAATTTAAATTATTTTGTTTAAATTGTCAGTAGATGGCAATGTTTATTAAACTTGAAAAAAAAGACATTACTTATGGAGCACCTTTAATAGATCAGAACAGATGGTACGTGATTCAACAATGCGATAGGAAAGATAAAGTATTGCTAAATTACCATCTGTAAAGAATATTTCTTAAAATACATTATTTTATACATTATTGCATACGCACATTGTAGAGGTACATTATTTATAAAAAAAATTTTTATTTTCTTTAATATAAGATTTGTGGAAGTTTAGGAATCTTTTTTATTTATAGTTTATTTCAAAAATTTATGCTCAGATAAACGAGTTTAACCAAGAAGAGTTTAGTAAATCAAAATTTCCATCTGAATTCAAAATTCTGTTTCAATAATCATTACAATGGTCAGTCAGTCAATTGCAATGATTCATTTGACTTCGATCTCTAGACAATTTTATGTTTTCGTAATACAATAAATGTAATACAATAAAAAACAAGTCGAAATTCGGACATAGAAATTCAATATACTTCTATGTAATCATAATTTCCAAAAATAAATAAATCGTCATTCCAATATAATAATTGCTGAAAAAAGAAAAAATGTCCAATTTTTTCCAAAATTAATTCGTACATTTTATACCTTTATTATATAAATTTCATCTCTCGCAAGCGGAAAAAGTGAGGTATTCAACGAGAGTAGTCGAAAAATAATTTGAAATTCTGCTTCAGAGACAAGTTAATGATATCGATGCTGTCCAACGTCCCGAGCAACAAAAGCGACGAGAACGTTCTAAAGAACACGAGGAGAACGCGGAGCTCGGACAAATGCGACGTGAACGAGAAGAAGGAGGGCCGCAGGGATCGAAGGGCTAAATCTCCTCGCGCCAGAAAGGAGGATAATAAAAACTCGAAGAAGAATAATGAAGACTCGAGCAACGAGGACACGGACAGCGCGAAATTCAGCGACAACGAAGTGAACGAAAGAGTGCCGATAAGACGACGAAAATCGACGACCAATCGGGAGGATGCCTCGCGAAATGATGACCCATCGCTAGAAAATCCGATGAGAATCGTCGAAGAGAAATTGGACGCCTCCAACGAAGGAAACAGCGAGAACAATACAATCGAGAACATAAATTAACGATTATATAATACGATTTATAATACAATTCTCATATAAATACGATTCATTTACCAAAGAAGAAAAAAAAGAAGTGGGAGAAAATATATAGTAAAAAAATTTTCACTAATTATTCTGGAATATTAAATCCAAGAGGCGAAACTTTTAATCAACTGATGACTAGCTATCGCTACTATGTGTTATCAACGCGATAACGCGTTCAATTTTGTCGATATTTTCTATGATAATTTTGTATCGCTACCTAAAATCTCAAATAAAGTCAGCTTTCTACCGTGATACACGATATCAAGAATTATTTTATCGATTCGCGGTTGTGCGCCCGATATAGGTTGATATTAATAATTCCCGAGAAATCAAGAATATCGGCTATAGAATTTCTTCGAATTATAACAGTCGATTATACTGCAGAACGCTCCGATTGATATCGCGGATATTCTCGCGGGACATTCTGTGTAAAATTGCAATTTTATACTTACTGGAAATTCGGAGGAGAAATACTTTAACTTTTCTGCAACACAATTAAATACGAATTTTTTTTTTTTTTTATTACGGAACTTGACGAATACGGATTCTGATTTAAATGGTTGTAGTTTTAGGTAATTGACATAGATCAATTAATTTGATCGTATTTGAGATTCCTTGTGATGCAAGCGACGAAAGTGTGTTTTACAACCGTGCAAGTCTTTCGATGTTTCCTAGAGAATTTAAGTCGATGTCGACGATCTCGAGTCGTGGTGTTTGACCTCGTCACCCTTCGCGGAGCTGCGCAACCCTGTGATCGTAGTTATTGGATTCCACTAGTCGGATGTCGTCACTATGATGCCATCATCGTGCGCACACGAGAAAAATAGACAGAAAGGTCAAAAGACGAAAAATAGTCGGGACGGTATGTCAAATACGCTGAGATAATAAGATGAACGAATCTTAATCCGAAATCAGAAAAATAATTCCCTTCAATCTAGATACATATAATAATACCTACATACTTGTTAACTTTTTTATATTTAAAGACTATATTTATATTTTTAAATTTATTATAATATTAATAGCAATAAAATTACTTACTTATTAAAATAATTACTTAGAAAAATTACTTACTCATTAAAATTATTACTTATTAGTAATAATTTACTTGTTAACAATAAATTAGTATATTTATTAGTAATACTTATTGGTAATAAATTTAGTAATAATTACTTATAAAATTATTTATAAATTTTTACATTTATTATAATATGAATGGTAATAAAATTAGTTACTTATTAAAATAATTACTTAGAAAATTATTATTTATTAGCAATAAATTTAAAATTCCTCTGTACATGAATTAATAATTCGGAACGTAATAATTTCATTTCGTCATATTATTTATACGAATACGAATATATAATGTACGAATTTACAACAATTCCGCCATGTAACTACAAGCAGTACAATATCGTGCAATGTAAGCTTAATTAAAATTTGGTATAAATAGAACTTGAATAAAAATACAAATAGTGTTCGACACATTTGATTCAGATTTATTTTTCAAGCAGTTGTGTAAATTGTAAATCGTTGAGGATAGACGGAACTCGGTCGCAGTTTTTACGAGTTCTCTAATTTCGTAGAAATACGAAACGGAGATATTAAATTTTTTTTCAAAAATCAAATTTTGACAAGAGTGAACGACGTTTCATTTCGACTCGAACGGCAAAGGAAAAGAGATTCTTGGGCAATTTCGTGCGATGAGAACGGAAAGAAAAAGAAGGCAGACGGAAGGCAGTGCCTGCTTTATGAGACGCGCGAGGGCGAACAGAAAACGCGTGACGAGACGCGATTTCGTTGTTTCCTGCAAAGAAGGGAAAAAATAGGCGAAAGGAACCGACGGATTGGCACCGTCGGCCGTGCCACTTTTCTTTTCATCAATGTCCTGAAAATTCTAAAAATATACCAAATTTTCGCGCCACGACCGGTCAAAATCCTAGAGAAACAGCGACCGCCGAGGAAACAGGCGCGGACATCCGGCAGAATTTCGGACCCAACAGTAAGCACAAAATGGCCCGCATAAAGAAACGTCCTCATGCGCGAAGCCATCATAAGATGAGTGAGTGAGATGATCTTGAAAAAAGACCTGAGCGAAAAATATAAAGCGACAAAATCCCTCTGGATCTAACTAAAATTCTCTTTCCTATTCTGTTTTCCTCTTTTCCTTTTTTTGACTTCTTCTTTCTTTTTTTTTTTTTTCTTCTTCTTTGGCGAATTGTTCATTAAAGAAAGTAACCAAGCCGAATGAGCGAAGAAATATCCTATTTGTCGATTAAGAATCCACCAAATAAAATGATAGAATGTTCAACATGAAAATACTACAGTTTTAAAAAGAAGAAAAAGTACGATTTTTCGAATATCATACAACGAAACGTCATTTTGTTCTGTGCAGGTATTAAACCTCGTAATGTCATCGAGATTAAAATACACCCATCTTCTTTCACAGACGAGAACATAGTAAACTCTAAAGTTGACCGACTTTTTTGGATTGTCAATAATCGGTCCCACAAGAAGCCATTCATCGTACACATTTTATTTTGTTTACTATGTTCAGAGACAACATCCACGTCCCTGTAGCCACGTTGCGTTCCTTCTGCCGTTGTCCGATCGATTTCTTCGAACCACCGAATGCCAAACTTGGCTCAATATTTGCAACAAGCAGCGCGAAACCTCATCGAGAATTTCCATCCTGAATTTCAAAGTATTTCTTTCAAAAGTCTCCATTACTGAAATTCAATCGATTCATTGATTGGCTAATCTCGAGTTTTGTATTTCATACTAGTATCTTCATGGTTTCGGATTTTGATAAAATCCAAAAGATAGATTTTTAAAAAAGTATTTAGAAGTATTAAGAAGAATGTACTGTCTCGTGCTAATTTCTCAGATACTGAAGATTCCAAATTGATGTTTGAATATTCTTAAAACATTTTCCAGAGAATTTTTAAACCATGTCAAATCTAAGATATTCGATATCCTTTGGATTAAGAACTATTCACGCTGGAATTTCTCAGCATTTGCACTCCACAAACGTTTAAGTGCTTGAAGTTGAAACACTTTCCTCCCGAGTTTCAAAAGAATCACGTCCCAGTTCCATCCTTGAACTATCAAGGACAGAAGCTTTCGATCCACTCGAATTTCCTGAGATACTCGTATTTTATCGCGCCTCTTCGCGAATTTTGATAAACGTTCACGCCGCGAGGTTCGTTTGTCATTTAAATTTCGCCACTGTCAACAGCGATGCGTTGAAAGAATTCTGTAGCCTAGCGAATGATTTTACTTGCATAGATCACACGTCCACTAGAAAATTTTGCGAAAATTGAACAAAGTTTAAGCTTCAAAAAGAAAGAGAGAAAGACTGGTATCGAATCCAGATAACTGGTTTGTCATATTTCAGAGCTACGTCGTAAACCAAACATCTCCGAGCTGGTGTACAAATTCCTAAGCCTTGGTGGCAGCAAAGAAGACGCCCGCGAGACGCTGAGGAATTATAACATAACGAAGTGCCAGTTTTGCAAGCGGTTGAAACGCCGTGAAAAAGTTCTGGATTGTCCGAATTCCCAACCTGGCGATAGCATGGCCAACAAACGAAAGGACACGACGAGAAATTCCAAGGTCCATCGCGTCAAGCGACGACAAATCTCCAGGGATCAAACTCTCTCGTCCTGCATGCACAAGTCCAGCGGAGGGGAAGGTAAGAGCAATGAAAGTTACAAATAGACTGCGGATTTTTATTGCATTTCTGGAGAACTTCATGCTGCAAAAACACATTTCGCGATGCGCATGATGATACGCGGAAATGTGGAAAATATTCAAGGCAATAATTGTAATTATAATAATACGTGGGACGAACGACTTTTTACTTATTTTTTATTTAATTTCTTCAATTACATAAAAAAGTTTAAAAGTTTAAAAATGCATAGAAATCCGTAGTCTGGTTGTAAGTATCTTTTAAATTCTAGGTGACAATAACTGCTCGACACAGATTAAAAATTATACATGTGTTGGATATAATTGTACTCAACAGTTTCTGTATTTAATTTCCTAATTTTTTGCATCGCAAGATTTCGTTTCACACGTTCCGCTCATAATTTTGGACATGTATTTTTTATATTTTCCTCAATAGAGATTTTTTCACTAGTAGAGGGGAGACCATTTTCATATTTTACATTTCCTGTGTGTTAATGATTACACTTCTACGTTTTCTGCATGCAAGTTTTAATACTCTTTTTATATCATTTAATAATTATATTTTACACTTTTTATACTTGTAGCTTCTTTACGATAATCACGTATGTGGACAGAAATGTTCTGTTTTTGTATCAAATCAATAATAAATAATTTAACTATTTAGTCAATTATTTAATTAATAATAAAGCATTATTATCATAATTAACTATCATTGAACGGTCATTGTAATGTAATTATTCAGTTAATTATTTAATTAAAAAGTATCTACGTTAATTTCAATTAACAACGAAACAAATCGCTCGTGCTTGAAAGTGATTATATATTATTTAATAATTCGCTTTGTTATCATCCTACGTCGAATAACATTTATTGCATTTATGAAAGATAATTGGGATTGCTTAATGAGCGTAAAAATGATGGGACAACAAGTATCGATACTTTTTCATACCATTTTTATAAGAGGATGTTGATGACTGAAATGATTAATTAACGTAGCAGTGTATTATCGTTATCAAAGCTGATTAAACGACAATCCGATTTACCGTACCTCATATATAATTCATGCAGATAGAACAAGTACTCTTCTCCGATATGCAATTCAGCATTTAACCGAACACATTTTACACGTATTGCGTCATATCTTTTCTCATGAATCAATATATAAATCTTTGATTAATTAATATACGAACACGGGATACACTCGATCTATTTATCATGATTTTATCACGCAAAGACAATACAGCTGTGATATTTATAAATTCCGTTGAGACCCAATTTTTTAATTATTAAGGAAGCTACTTGCCATTAATTAATTAGAATTTTACAAGTTAGGATTTCATCCTAACGTTAGTAATTTTCTCACTTCTTATCTTACATTTTATAGTATAATGATATAAAAATAATTTGTTTGAAAGTACCAAGGGAGGTGAAAATTTTGCATTTAAATCCAATATGTTACATATTCAAGTAACATTACCAAACACTCGAGGACTACAGTTTAAAATTACAGTTTAAAAATCCCTACACACATGTTCATTCTCTAAACATATCTATATTATGCTTTTATTGTTGCTCCAAATATAACATTCATTCTCGAGATGTAACATTTGCTCGGAATACAGGGATGAAGAAAATGAAGAGATACATCCAGAAGGCGCTCGATTTCGGTGTAGAGTCTGGCTACTTGATACCAAAGGACGCCGCGTACAAAGTTCTCCGCGTGTCCTCGGACCTGATGAACGATGTGAATTACGGGAGCAAAGATCGGAGGTCGAACGGCGCGGTTTCGCAAGTTAGGGACAGAAGTCCTCGTCGAACGCCGATTAGATTCGAGGATTACGAGGTGCAGGACGCCAGGAGGCGACGAAGAGGCAGGAGGAGGGGCAGGAGGAGGAGGAGGCGGTCGAGGAGAGGACGAAGACGATCGAGGAGCAGGTCCAGAAGAGGACGAAGAAGGAGATCGCGCAGAGGAAGAAAGCGTGACGCGTAATTTCATTAAGTCCCTCTTTTCTCTATCTTCGCCCCGTAAGGCAAAGTTTCGTTCGTTCGCGGAACTTTTTCCTTTCAATTTCATTTCATTTCATCTCGTTCCGACATTTCAAAGGACTCCTAATGGAAAAAATTATCGCGACAATGGACAATGTAGACGTCCCGAAGTTCTCCTCTCACGCGTACAAACACTAATATAATAATCGAAAGTAATAATAGAACACGGTGACAACTTGAAACTGTGATCTCTCGGTGCGGGAATTGATAGTTTTTCCTCGGAAGAGAAGGGAAATGATCGATTGGTAAAGGAAATGCAACTCTAACGATGAATATTCACGACATACGTGTAACTTAATACTTTGCAATGCAAAATGTTTAACGAGGCGACACACGACAAAATTCTCCAACGAACGTAACGATTGTGAATATTCATAGCCAACGGTAATAAATTTCCTCATAAACGTTCATTTACAGTCGAATTGTCAATCCCACGCGCTCCAAGTTGCTCAACCTTTCGCGCTGCAGGCGCGAAATTTCACCTCTTCGAAGTTGACAATTCTCAGAATCTTCTCAAAGGGGACGAGTGACGTGTAGTAATAGAATTAGAAACGAAATTATCCTGATAGTAACCTGTGAATGCCAGAGCTACAACTCCCCCGAGTAATAATTATCCGAACGAACAACGCGATTTCAGATCCGGCGCCGAGGAGGAGGTGGTCGATATCGAGAACGAAGACGAGTACGATTTCGGCAAACAGGGGGAGCAGAGGAAGAGTCCGGAGACCGCGACCAGAAGCGGGGAGAACGACAATTTGAATCAGTCTGACGGTGAAAAGACGGCGAGGAAAAGGGAGGACGATGCCTCGGATCTGTCCATGGACGAAGAGGAGACCGACGACGAAGAGGAGAAGAAGAGGGAGGAAACGACGAAATCGTGAGACGAGTGCACGCATCGACAAATCGACCGTGTTAGGTGTGAAAATTCTTTCGTGACATTACGACGTGATACGAGAAACGTATCGTTTATATGCATATACAAAAGATAAAAATGTCCTGTGAATATATTTTTCTTCTTTTTTTTTTTTTTTTTCTTTCTTTTGGAGTGGAACTCGCCTTTGAATCGAAAATTATAAATATGTGGAATATTTCGTTCGTTTATTTATTATTATATGGTCGTGGTGATCCATGCGTGGTGAGTGTAGCCGTGAACAACAGATACATGTTACACTTTGGACAACGGAGCAATAATATTGTGAAATATATAAATGTATAAATTGTTCGAGATTTGTTTTTCACTGTGGTGCTAGGTTTCGACTGGCTTTCGTTCATTTAAAGATAAAAAATAACACTCAACAGAGCAACCTACATTTCCTTACACTTCAGCCAAAGTGTCATTCAAATCAGTCAGGCAGCTTAAATGCTGTTGACTAATGTAAACGTGTTGTTTGGCTTGATGCGGAATACATTTCACCAGTTGCCTTTTGAAATTCGAAATGTCTTTTCTTTCATCGTCGAATGAATTACACTCGTTGTTCTTGAAATTCCAAACGGCGTTGCAACAAGCATTTGTTTCTTAAAGTCTAAAGTCTTCATTTTTTTTTTTTTTTTTTTTTTTTCTTTGATTTCTTTTTTTTAAAGGCCGAATTTTAAGAAATTGCGTCGAA